ATTGTCGAAACGTTGATACTTATGAATTGAATCGGTGAGTTGAAAAAGGATAATATTCCATATAATGGAAAATTAAATTAAGATATGTTAAAAACACAGTTGAGTGAAAAAAGGAACATATTCCAGGAATGTTATTTGTTTTCCACTCAAAGTGATTCACAGAGAGCAAGTTGATTATTTGTTCCACGCATGCAGCGCTAGTGACTCTGTTTAAAAATACTTTATGATTATTATAGGTTATGTTAGATTATAAATTGTTTGTGAACAGTTATTGTGAGAGTATTTGCAAGTTATTCTTCCTTTTATGTGATAAAATTTGTTGAATAATATGTCAGAGGAACAAGAGGTTGATGAACCGAGGAGAAAGAAAGGTAAAGTCAATAATTCAGAACATAGCAAAGAAAAAGAGAAATTTGCCAGGAGCAACAAGGGGAAAGAATTCGTCACTATTGAAGGACACCTAGCTATGGCTAAAACAACGGGACCAAACTATTCTTACCGTAATAAATGCATGGACAATTTTTCAAACGAAAATAAACAAGCTATAATCACGTCGTTATACAATGGGTAACCAAAAAATGAAAAAGATACCTATTTGATGGGTCTGATAGAAAGACATGATGTTTCTAGGCATCGTCTTACCCAAGCAGACTCAAAACAAATTTATTAGCTTGCATGCTATATCTTATAAAGCATTGGCACGACTGCCACATCTGCTGAATGCAAACGAATCACCAAGAGATGGTCATAGTTGACATTCTAACAGAGCACGTGCAATAATAGCCTCTGTTACTGATGAAATACATATTCACATCAAATCATTTCCAACGCATATTTCTTATTATAGTTCTAAGCTTACAACTTACCTTGAAGCAGCGTTCACAACGACGAAAATGCATAGGCTATTCTTGAAAAAATTCCCTCAATACAAAACAGTGGTGAAATATAAATACTACCTCAAATATTTTAAAGAAAATGTTAACTACAATTTGGCCGATCACAGGCAGATGTTTGTTCTACCTGTGAAGAGTTAAATACCAAGATCAAATCAACTTTTTTAAATGATGGCGCCAAAAACGTGTCGCTGCTGCTGAATTCATGGTACATAAACGAAGGGCAACAATGTTTTATAACAAGCTAAAGAGCTTGCAAGAGTTGAGCAAAAGTTAGTGGAATAGTATTTGACTATATACAAAATTTGCTTTTGCCCTTTATGCCTGTGCAGGAGATGTTTTACCTGAGAAAACTATGGTATTATGTGTTCAATATATAAGACTTCAAAAGAACGTCTATATTTCAAAACTATCCAGAAGGAAAATGCAAGAAAGGGCTTACAGAGGTTTGCACTTTTGTACTAGATTTTATTGAAAAGTCTGTTCCAAAGGAAATAGAAATTCATCATGTTTTTTGCAATGCGTGCGGTGGGCAAAACCGCAACCACACTCTTACGAGACTGTTGCTTACTCTAACAATGAGGGGTCGTTTTAAAGAGGTTAATCTATACTATCCTCTTAGGGGTCATAGTTTTATGCCCTTTGACAGAACTTTTGGTGTGGTCGAACGTGTAGTACGTAAACATGATCGAATTTATTCACCTGGACAGTTCAAGAAAAGTATATAGAATGCTAAGACAACTCATCCTAAATACATGGTAAGAGATATTAATCATGAACATATACTAAACTTTAAAAACTGGTGACCTCATTATTTAAAAAAAAACCTTTACAAGTACGCCTACTACTGGATCAACCGTTAATGTACCTTTTACTATTAGTAAGTACAGACATAGTGTCTTTAAACAGGCATAAAAGGATATGTACAGTGTGGTGAATACATGGACAATTTTTGTATCAACAAAATTAAATTGAGTAAGGTTGTCGACGTGCCTCTACCTAGAACAAGTGCATATATAGGAAGAGTTCTAATAAAAAACGAAATAAATTAAAGATACTTCCAAAATTTTCTTTTATTCTTTGAAGAAAAACTCACCTGGTCCACTGCCGAAGATGACAGTGATGGTGACGAGAAAGATTGATATACGATGCCAAGTTTGAGAGGAAAATATTTCTTATAATTTTAGTGTAAAAATAAGTTCTTTTTCGATAAAAAATAACAATTTGTTAAAAACTGGTATTTTTATAATACTTCCTTATTTTGAGTGGAAAAAGGGTAATATTCCAAATATTAAAACCTCCTTACTCAGGTAAATGAATAAATAAAAACGTTTTAAATTTATTACTAAAATACTTCTATATAGCACTAAAAACACTAAAAATAAAGCTGTAAAAAAGTTTTTTTTTTTATTTCCCAAAAGTTAAGATTTTGGAATATTATCCTTTTTCCTCTCACAATTAGTGGTGCCAGATAAACAGGAAATATACACGAAAATGTAGTCATCTTAAGTAATAAAACAATTATACATAAAATCAATCCGATACACATACAACATTAAAACTAGAGGATTTGTCATAAATTCATAGATATTAAAAATGTATACAAACAAAATTAACACATGTATACAGAAACAAATAGAACATTAAAATTACACAAATACAAATAATAATTAAAATATGATAATATCCTTTATACCTCCAATACACTCTGGGAGTGCCCCAGTCGCTTAATAAATCCTGAAATTCTTTCGTATGTACAAGGAGGTATTTGTAAGCAGAAACTTTTAAATTACTTTCTTATGTTTAGTGTAGCATGTTAAATAAACAAACAGCACTGTAGTTTTTTTTCTTGTGTCACGATTACTTTCACAGAGAGTTTGCTTATAGTGGTCTAAAAGTGTCAAGATACCGCTTTTTCGATCATAAAATTTTAAATTTTTTACATCAAGTAGAGTGGAGAGACCAGCAGCCTGACTAATAAGTTGCCGAACTTTTTATTGTAAAAGCTACAAAAAAATCCAATCTTATTCACAATTGGGAAATATATTCATTTCAAGTGAGTTCAGCACCAATGTTAATCTCCAGAAACTTGGTACACTGATCCCCTTCATCGATTGAAATGTCACTAGTTGCAAATGTTAGGGATTTGGACTTTGTTTCATTGAGTACTTATTGGTTTGTTGTAGTAGCCTTATCTAAAACTTCAGAAAATACATCCCTATTAATAGTCACACCAAATGTAGGACCATCAGCATACATATAGGTACCTATTTATTTTTCTGTTATTAAAAATATTTAGTAGGTCATTTATATAAATTAAAAAAGAGTAGAGGGCTGAGAATAGAGCCTTGCGGATGCCTATTTAAGTTTCATAATCAAACAATATGTTTTGCAATTAAAACTAAAATCGTACAGGCCTATATAACATGAACACGGCCGCCGAGAGCCAGACCGGGCCCCAGGACAATTCTCCAGATCGGGCCCCGCGACAATTTTATAAAACATTAAATAAGAAAAGGTCTTCAAGCAAAAATTTCTCCTCTACTTGAATTTCTCTAAAAAAAAAAGGATTTCAAGCAAGAACTTTATACCGCTGCCGGGCCCCAATTTGAGCCCGGGCCCCGGGAATTAGTCCCGGTTGCCCCCCCCCCCCCCCCCCTCTAGTCGGCCCTGAACATGAATAACTGATTGGTTTATGAGTACATTTCAGGGACTAAAGGATTACAGCTAACTAAAGATTGATGTCTCAAGAGTCTTCGCAATCTTTGTTGTTTTTGCCACTATGCAACTTTCAATGACTTTTACTGACACCAAAAGAATGAATGATTCTATTTTACCATTTCTCATAGCTTAAACATCTACTTGATACTCTTGGTACATAAACAACTATTTAAATTTAAATTATGTAGATACAAAAATATGTTTAAAATTTCTACATAGAAAAAAGTATACTTCATCTTTTGTAACTCCCAAAAAACTACTGTTAAGTCAAGTGGGTCAAGATATTAGCAACGGGGTGGCCAAGAAATGAATACATAGGACCTCATTTCCAATCATCCAATCTAATATCTAGAGTTACTTCCAAAAAATATACTCTCTTACATGGCCACTGTCATAAGGGTGTAGAAATGTCGACAAGGTATATCGTCCTCTTAATACTCTGGTAATTGGTTTTGTAAGAACGGCAATATAGATCATTAATTTGTAAACATAATATGTATTTTTTATAAAAAGGACCAAAAAATTTTAAAATTAAACTGTGTAACCAATAATTACCTATTTCTGATGTATTAAAAAGTTTGGGAATCTAGGGTATCACACTGCTTTCATAATTTCTTCATGCAGAGCTGCTCTAGCTTTAAGAAGACCACATACCTATTTTCATCACAAATTGTTCAGCCAATTCCTTGCCATTAATAAAAAGACTAACTTTTTTGCATGCAATTTTAAATATAGGTAATTTAGTTAAATTTTTAACTCCAGAATATTGGGTATAGTTTATAATCTACTTTTCTGTTACACCCCGTATACCAACACCAATTTCTTAAATCAAATAGAGTCACAACTCGTGTAAACAAGAGTATTTCAGATTGTAATCCCATGCGAAAGTTGCGCGACGTTATACAACAAGTTAGTTCATGTTTTGCGGTTAAACAGTTCGTTGCTTGTCCTCTGATTCACTACTCCAAACTTCCTTTCCTACTAGACAACTAGACACGCCTTAAGTATGTATTAAATCTGTTATGATTATGACTTTAAAACCAGTTCTGCTGTCTCTCTCTTCTTCGTAAAGGTGAAAATGCTTCTACTCGAAAGTACGATAATAATTAGATGTGAGATTTCGCCACTAGCGTCCTCTGTGGAAAAATAAATAAAGCATAGAGTTAAAGGTGTATAAATAAATGTATACATTTTCTGAATTTTGCGTGGATAACGAATTATATAAAATAAGTACACCTTCCTGCTCCACTCAACAATTCGAACGTATTACAATGTAAAAAAGTTGTGCTATCAACTCGATTCGAACTCGTAGATTGGGTTTATTCAAACATTATTCCAATAGGAGTTTTCTCTCTCCCTAAAAAACTTTTCTTTTTCTTTTTGCAGGCCGCAGGACTCGAATTGAAGGAGAACTTGGCCGCAGGAGCGGCCGGTTGGCCCTACCCTTCGGTTTATCACCCCTACGATACGGCCTTCGCAGGATATCCATTTAATGGGTAAGTTCACTTTGTTATTGTATCATAAGTGTCTTTTATCCCATGATGAATTACACGGAAAAGGAATATAGTCTATTGTGCGTCAGGGCTCTTATCAATGGTAATATCGTTTTCGCAGGATAAACCGTGAATGCATTATTGCAACGGATCACGGCTGTGATTTATGGTAAATATCTATTTGGAGATTTTTTCGGAGGGGTTTATATCCCATGAGTGTATGTTTTCTATTAATTTTTATAGTATCTAAGAGCTAATAAATGTATGGCGATAAGTCTGAATAATATAGAATGTCATAATTGTTATATTATTCGATATCATAATCGAAAATGTATACATAATATGTCGTTGTAGTCAGATCTATTTCAATGACTCATTAATAGCTTTGTTCGCACAACGATCAGAAAAATAAGCAACTGCAAGACTCATGCGCAGTTCGTAAAAAGTGTTCGCACAACCAAATTTTAAATCTCCATTTAAAAATTGGGTGTTCGCAGAACGAAATTTGCCGTTGCAAATCGATTTCCAACGATCCAAATAATCCCCTGATTTTGAAGAAATTTTTAGTTGGACACATGCGCATTAGTTTATTCCTTATGTCGCATGTCAATTTAAAAGTTAGGTTATATGTTTGTTGTTTTTGGATTATTTTTGTGTTCATTTTATATTTTAAATTATTGTCGGATCATTTTAATAAGTAAAAAGAAGGTAAGTGACATTTTTAAGTACTAAATGTAATTAGGTCGGTAATCATATTTAATTTTTTTAGAAGTAGTTCTAAAGATGTTGTTCGAGGACAATTGGGAAAGCTCTTCCAGTGACGAGGAACTATTAGTTGATTATTTTAGACAATCAAAGCAAAAAAATGAAAATTATTTGGAAGAGATAGTCCCTAATTATACAAACACAGAATTTATGGAACATTTTAGATTAAGCAGACAAGTTGTTCAAAATTTATCTGAACAATTTGCACAAACGCAATACTTCCATCACCAAAGCGAGGAATTTGGAAAATTGAATGCCGATGACTTCGTTATTATATTTTTATGGTATGCTGGCCATGAGGCAGCCTCATATAGAGATGTTGCCGATAGATTTTGCATATCATTAAGTACTCTCCGAAAAGTTATCGAAAGAATGACATACTTTTTGAGCAATCTTTCTCCACAAATTATTACTTGGCCAAATTACTTAGAACAACAACACATAAAACAGCAGTTTTCCACCAATGGATTTGAAAACGTGATAGGAGCAATTGATGGGAGTCATGTGAGGATTGACAAACCTTCTGAAGATCCTGATTCCTACCTTAATAGAAAAGGATTATATTCAATACAAGTAAGTTCCTACCTACTTCTATTTCTTTCTAAATTTTATCATTTTTGGTCATTGCATATTTAAATATATATTATTAAAACTTTATTTTATTGTAGTTATTTTAGTTTCAGGTAGTTGCTGATCATCAAAGAAAAATTAGAGACGTGGTAATAGGATTTCCTGGCTCCGTACACGACAGCAGGGTATTTCGGGCATCTACTTTATGCACCAACATAGAAGAGATGTGTGGTGAAAATTATCTTCTGGGAGACAGTGGATATCCGTGTCAAAAAAATTTATTAACGCCATTTAAGGAAATTGGACATTTAACAAGGAGGCAAATAAATTACAACATAAAATTAGCAAAAACCAGATATGTAGTGGAACATTGTTTCGGCATTTTGAAACAGAAATTTCGTCAATTGTACCACTTAAAATTAAGAAGCGATGATATGATTGCAAACTTTATTAGAGCTTGTTGTGTTCTTCATAATTTAGGGTTAAATGATAATCGCAATTATGACAATATAGAGGCAGAAGTTGAAATTGAAGACAATGAAGACGTGCAAATAGAAAATAATGACAGAGTAGAGGTTGATAATAGAGACAATATAAACGGTATAGAATTTAGAAATCGTGTTATGAATATCTTGCCAATGTAGAAACGTTGATTTTATTTGATAGGTATAACTTAATAAATAATTTTTTAACAGAATTTTTTTTATTACAAACTTCACAAAACTTCAAAAACGACAATAACAAATAGAACTAAACGAATAATGTAAATGCAAAACGACAATAGAACTAAACAAACAATACTTATAAATGCAATAAACTAAATAAATAACTAAAATACTACAGGAATATCTGTTTAAATAAGAATGTTTTTTTCAGTCAATTTTAGTAACAGTTTATTTGTTTCAATATGTAAATTATTTTTATCTTTTAATAAATTATTCTTCCGTTCTTTTAATTGCACCTTTTGAACTTCCAATTGATAAAGTTTTTCAAATTTTTCTTTCTCAAAAGCTAATTTTTCCTTGTGTCGATCTAATTTGTTAAGACGTATTTTTTCTAAAACATTATTTTTTACAGATGTGGCTGCTTTTGATTTCATCCTATGAGGCGTTACTGTTGTAATGTTTTCTTTATTTATTATTGAGGAAGAAGCAGGTGAAAAGTCTGGTGAAAATTCCTTTTCAACTATTTCAGCTTGTGACGAAGTCGAAGGTGTTTGTAATTTTGTTGCTGTTGATGTAGATAATAAAATTGTCGGATTGATATTTTTCTTTTTACCGAGAATATCATCCATTTCATCGGCAAATTCAAAAAATCTTCGACCTGCTCCAGTTTGCTTCTTATTATCTACATATTTTTTATAATTTCGTTCTAGAACTCGCCATCTGTTTTCACAGTTTAAGGGTGTCACATCAATGTTTTCTTTTTTAAATTCTTGGGCTATAACTTCCCACATTTTCTTAAAATTTCTAATTTTTAATGTTCCCACCAGTTTCCTTGTTGTTTTAAAATAATTTAGTAACATTCGAGTTGTTACAGCAGTCCATATAAAACTTCTACCTTCTCTAGAGCACGACTCAGTGGGGTTTGCCAAGGGAGTTTCTAAAACAACAAAATTGTTATAGGTATTTTACCTAAAACACATACCACTGAACTTACCTTCCATTGCGTAAATCGCTTAAGATAAATATTTTTACTTTTATTTAACGACAATAATTATAAAAAGGGCAAATTCAAAAATCTCAAATATTATAGCCGAGAAGCATTGAAATATTGAAAGAAATAAAACATAACCTATAAATCTACAGTTTTCAATGGGACTTTACCTTTCAGAACATTCAGTCAACAATGATTTTTAAGCGTTCGCAGAACAAAAAATTGGCAATTAGGTTAAAACCAAAAATAGTTTGAACATGCGCACAAAAAAATTTCTTATTAGTTGGAAGTTTGCTTGTGCGAACAAAGCTAATATCACTCAAGATGTTCATACTTAGTTTAAATTGTATTGGTAACGAATGTACTAAAAAGGAAAGAAAGATTAAATAAAAAAGTACCTCATATTTTGTTAATATACCAAAGAGTAAAATTCATGGTAATATCTCTATAGTATAAAACCTTTTTTGTTTGTTTTGATGTATCAACTTTTACCAATTAAAACTTGTTAGACCTTAGTGTAATGTGTAATTTTGGTAGCTTAACATTTTTAACTGTACATTAAATTAACCTTAACTAATTTTAAAAGAGAAAAATTATAAAAGTTTCTTATTGCTGATGGCACAAAATTGTAGATAAATATTTGTCGAAAACTTCTAGTACTTATTTTCAATATTTTCTCTGTTAATTTGTCTATTACACTCCAACGTGTAATGAGAAGGCAAATAATTTGACACCCATATATTTTGGGCATATATCTATATCTAAAATAGACCATTCTTTTCTAAATACTGCTTGACCAATAACTGTCTCATAATAACGCAAATTACAGTATTTCTGTTTGCTCTGTTAACCACATCATTTGTTATTGTTATTATTATTAAACAGTTATTTTATTAAAAAAACGCGATATAATGCAAGACAATGTTCAAAACTAATAACGAAAACCTTTATTACATATTAATAATAATGATTGCTGACAGTGGGACAGTTGTGGAATTGATATTCATCATTTTAGCGTAATAATTTTTGCTATAAAATCATAATTGCCTCCATAAATTATCACTTATACCTATATCACTGTCATTAATTTATAGGTTCGTACTTTTATGGGTATTCAATTAAATGAATGATGTAGTTAAATTATATTTTTTAACGCTACCGCAATGACCGTTGGTTATTAATAGTTATTCATTTTAATACTACTTGAATGTCTAGTTCAGTTAATACTAGAATATACAGGATATTTAATTAATATTGCACAAAAATAAAAAGTACTTAAATTTTCGTGAAACTGAAGGTTTAAAATTGAGCCACGAGGTAGAGAAGTAATGTTAAAACGAAGTCTGGAATACAGGAGAGTCTCCTGTATATCAAACAATTGGTGTTGTAACGATAGTTTTAATATTTTTAAAAAATGTTATGTTACCTTTTAATTATTTGTCAATTAGAAAGAAAGTTGTATTTTTGATAATATATTTTGAATTACCCTTGCAGTTTTCCATTTAATATCACCGGGTATGTGTCCTGTAATAAATATTTTTTTCACAAGTAACAAAATTCTTCACTTGTTACTTGTTTATACCCTCCAGCTTACACTTTAACTAGTTTTTTCTAATCTCTTTGGAACGTCTTCTAAAATACAGTCTGTTCGCTATACTTACGCGGGTTTCGGATTAAAAATTTTATGAGTATTTCCAGGTAAGTACCCGAAAGTTTGACCTGTTTTTTGGGGAAATATCAACTGGTTAAATGAAATGAAAAATAATGTACAACTTTTTAATTAAATAATAATGGCGAATCTTTTGTATAATTGAGAGCAGAATTAAACTTCTTCATTAATGGAGTCTAATGTGGCTATTATAAACCTAATAATAATTTTATATTACACTTCACACAAAAAATATGATCTATGTATAATAAGAGGGTTATTTAGCTCAAATAAAATATTTTCTAACATAAAAATTTATTCCATGTAGAGAATTTCAAATGAAAAATAAAAAAAATTGAACTTG